TTTTTTTTTTAAAGATTTTATTTATTTATTTATTTGACAGAGAGAGAGAGAGAGCGAGCGCGCGCGTACGCACACAAGCAGGGGGAGCAACAGAGGGAGAGGGAGAAGCAGACTCCCCGCTGAGCAGGGAGCCTGATGCGGGGCTCGATCCCAGGACCCTGGGATCACGACCTGAGCTGAAGGCAGACCTTTAACCGACTGAGCCACCCAGGCACCCTCCCTAGACTTTTTTTTTTTTTTTTTAAGATTTTATTTATTTATTTCACAGAGGTAGCAAGAGCAGGAGCACAAGCAGGGAGAGTGGGAGAGGGAGAAGCAGGCTTCCCACTGAGCAGAGAGCCCGATGTGGGGCTCGATCCCAGGACCCTGGGATCATGACCTGAGCCGAAGGCAGATGCTTAACGACCGAGCCACCCAGGCGCCCCCAGACTTTGTTTTTTTTTAATGAGATTTTATTTATTCATTTTAGAGAGAGAGTGTGTGCATGTGCACATGCGCAGGGGGGTAGGGGCAGTGAAGAGAGAGAGAGAATCCCAAGCAGGCTCCACACCCAGAGCGGAGCCCGACGGAGACTTGAGTCACAACCCTGAGATCATGACCTGAGGTGAAACCGAGTTGGACGCTCAGCCCACTGAGCCACTCAGGCGCCCCTTCCTGAGACTTTTTAAATGAAATTTTCTACACACAGAAAAGTTGAAACTGTAGCTGAGTTATATCGTATACCCTCCGTTGAGATCCATTCACTAATATTTTACTGCGCTAACGTTTTTTTGTTGAGCCGTTTGAAAGTTTGCAGTAAATTGCAGACGGCATGACACTTCTTATAATAGGGATATTTTTCCTTATAACTATAACATTGTAATTAAGAATGTTATTTAGTATTTAGTCCTGTTCAGATTTTAGCTGTATATCGTTTTTCACGTAAGTGTCTGTGGTCCCACCATGTGGAACCATCTGTGACAACAGCTTTCAGACAACTTACTAGCAACCCAGACTTCAGCGCACACTGGACGTGTTTTGGCCGTTAGCACCCCTGTACTTTTCTGGTGGTGGCCCAGGTGTGGAGACCTCTTCGGGACTTAACATCTTTGCTTAAACAGTTTTGGAGATTTATTTCCTTTTTATAACTAGCATTGTTTGATGATAACAGCTGGCCGCAAATACTTTGGTAGGTAATCTGTTTATATCTGAAATGTGGAAGCGCTCATTTCTTACGCTTTCTGGAAATAGCGTTTAGTGGCATTGAATTTTGTGGCGCGCTCTTCCTTTATGGGAACAATGTACGTGTTTACTGTTAACATAGGAAGTTATCTCAGCGATGCTCCTTGCGGTCTGCCCATGCTGTAGCCTGGTCCCTGCGTGTACCTCCTGGTGGCCGTGAGGTGTCTGAGCAGATGCGCGGGCAGCGGCTGTGACGCACAGAGTGCGCCTTGGGACATTGTTTTTCTGTGAAACCGTCTGTGAGAGTCTCGTCCCCTTTAAGATTATTATGGAAGGAGAATTTCGAGTTTGAACACTAAACTAATGACACATTTTAAAGATTGTTTAGCAAAATTGCAAGCCTGGCCGTGTTTAGTAAAGGTGGATTTAGCAGAGGAAAATCCAGGATCTTTTCTTCTCCAGCTTTCTATTGTGAAAATCTTCAAATTGAAATATGAGTTCAAAGAGCATTAGTACGCCCCTCATTTAGATTCAAGAATTAGTAGTTTGCAGTTTTCATTTTATTGTGTGTATGTGTATTTCATTTTCTTTCCTGAACCATTTGAAATTCACTTGCAGCCCACATGGCCGTCTGGTTCTAGAAATCTCTGTATGTGTTTCCTGAGAGTGACCATATTTGGGTGTGCCACCCAGCGTCCCAAGTGTGTGTGAGGGGCCAGTGGTAATGCCACAGTGTCCTTGAATTTCTCCGCTGGTCTGGGCTCCGTTAGTCTCAGGCTGGAGCCGTACGTGGACCTTGGGGGAGTGGCGCCGCTCGTGTGTGGGTCTCGGGTCACCTCTGCTCACTGTCCCCTGGGATGAAGTGCAGAGGCTTGGGGAAGCCTTTCTGACCATGCTGTGTGAGGAACGGCGTCCCCGGGGGCCACGAGGAGCGCCTGGCTCACATGAGGGGCGCTGGCTCAAGTGGCCCCGCAGCCGAAAGCCACGTGGCGCCGTGGCGCTGTGGTGCCCTTGCCCTCGTGACGGCCGCGGCCTTCGGGCCTCTGCAAACCTAGGCCTGCCTTTCTGTGGCCCATGACAGCGTTTTCTGTAATACTTGAACAATCTTTAGTAATTCCCACTCTCCTAGAAATAATGCTATTTTACAATGTCAGCATTTACAGTTTTTTTAAGAAAAATTCATCTTCGCTTTGTCTTGTTGACTAAATTAACCACTTAATAGAGTAACTTAAGGTAAAAGTATGTTTAAAAGTGTTTTTTGAACAAGTTAAGTTTTTCTCTTTCCAGTCAAAAGAGTGAGATTTGTTCTGGGGAAGTTTCTCGAAGCATCATATGGCAGCTGTAGGAACAGAGCAAAGCCAGGGGTGCGTTGGTCAGCACTGGGTCGTGTTTGCCCCTTGCTCGGGCTCCCCCTTTGTCTCTGGACTCACAGGCATCGGTAAGATGAGGCAGTTGGAATATTAACTGCATCTCAGAAATGGGCAAGGACTTTGAGCTCACATTTTGCATTCTTAGATTATTCAGCCTCTCTCACTGCAGCTCTTCCTTCAACCTGTGCCTTGCACTGTTTAAAAGTAGAACAGGCCGGACAGGTTCATCCCGGCCCCCCGCGGTGACGGGTGTGCAGTAGGAAGCCTCACCAGGAGAAGGCTGCACGCTTCAGGACCTCCGGAAGCTGGGTTTCTCCTGTTACAGAACCAGTTTAGTTCACTAGGCTAGGGTACATTGGTACTTGTGCAGATTAGACTATTCCTCAGTCTTGGAGGCGGCTTTGTGTCGAGCACCAGGAGTCGGGGGATGTTGTCCATTTGGGAGATGGTGCATCGTTTGTCGAGCGCTGCTGAGAATGCTCTGGTGGGAAGGCAGGGGAGCGTGGAGGGCGCCGTCAGGGTCAGGTGGTGCGAGGGTGAGCTGTCCTCTCTTGTGCGGGGCTGTCCCCCTGGCAGATGGCAGCCTGCCTGCCCATGGCGCGGACCGCTGTTGCCTGCTCACTTGAGGCGGGAGGTCAAAAACTGGCTGGCCATGCCTATAAGCTGTGGGCACTGTAGGCAGGGAGTTGGGTCAGGGTTTTGCCACCAAGGTGACAGGACAAGAAGGGTAAGAAAATGGAGGAAAGCAGGGGAGTACTGTCGTGGTTGATGTCCGAAGAGTCAGAGCAGTTAGGAGGGCAGTTAGTCCCTGAGGAAGACCACGGACAGTGCCACAGGGGTGAGGCCACAGAGAGAGGTAACGGTTGCAGCAGGGAAGTGTGGGGTGCGAGTGGCCGGGTAAGGGAAGGGGGACGATCGGAGGCGGTTTGAGTTGAGGTGCTTGGAACGAGGATTCTGGACGTGTGGTAGTCCTTGGTGATGAGAAGGTGCAGGCTGTGACCCTGGAGTTCATTGGCGGGGGTGGGGAGCAGGTGGCTTGAAAGGAGGGTGTCAGAGACCTGAGGGGCAAGTTGCAGGGGCATTGTTGCCAAGAACGTGGTGAGAATGGTGGTGCAGAGGAGGAGAGCGGGCACAGGGTCCTCAGGCGGCCGGAGATCAAGATGTCAGGCCACGCTGTGGCTGTGTGGACCGGCAGGGTGGGGAGCTGTGTGTGTGGGGGGGGTGCCCAGCGGCATTCTGCCTTCCGGAAGGCAGGGCCCCACAGGGCAGGGGGAGTCGTGTGGATGAGTTGCTGAGGGAGGTGGCGTGGCTGGTGCTGAACAGGGTCGGGGAGCGAGGCTCCAGTGGCTGTGGGTGGACTCGGGAGATGGGTGGCAGCCACGTGTCAGGCAGCCTCGGTGTGGGCTCCTCAGGCCTTGAACAGTGAGGCCACAGAGTACTGGAACCTCGCAGGGGAAGGCCGCGTCCAGAAGAGGTGCTGCTCCTGGCTGAGGCTTGCACCGTCCCCCTCCTTCCTGAGCCCCAAAGGGGGCACCCTGGATACTTACTGAATGCATGAATTCTTAAGATCTGGTCATTTCTAAGTCTATCTCCCTTGAATAATAAAAAGTTTTATATAGTTAAGAATTTTTATTGGTTAAGTGGATTCTTCTCTCCCCAACTAATTATGCTTTTTAAATCATTCTATTTTGTTACATTTTTGTCTCGAAAATTAATCAGCACTGCCTTTAGTTCTTACATCTGTGAACACAGGCGGTGGTTGCATGAAGACTGAATACGCCCAGCCTAGAGCAGTCCTGGGTTCAATGGGATTTGCCCCAGGCATTTTCGTGTTTTATGAGACTGTGTATTACATATGTATTACTATGTGGACTGGAACTGGAATCAAACTTGGCTGAGAGGATAAACTGCTTCCCTAAGATGACCTTACTTTTGCATGGGTGTGGGACTTACTGATCTTTTCCTCTGGGAGCGGACAGGGCACCTCAGTCTTGTTGGCTGTGCTCCTTTCTCTTGCCTCCGCTGCTGGCCTGTTGACCTGGCGCCCAGCCGTGGTTCTGACCCGAACTTGGTTCCCGTGCTGCCCCCACTGCAGCCGTGCTGGTACCCTTCCTCCCCAGGACCACCGCCCCTGTGGGCTGGGTCTTCGTGTCCCATCGAGGAGATACGGGCCATGGCCAGGGTCCATCTTCACGAACACCCCGGCGTCCGCCCTTTACTGATGTTGGCGGCAGAATGGGTCCCGGGGTGCGTGGAGGAGGCAGACGCGGTGTGGTGTTCCCCGTGGCCTCTGGGGAGTGGTGCTGCCCTTGGCGCCCAGGCCTGCGGAAATAAGGCTAATTGCTTCTGGGCAAAGCACTCTGAAGCGGATGTCGTGTTTAAAATTTTATGTTAGTTGGTGGCTCACTCGGGTAGTTTTGCTCTTATGATGACGCTCTAGTAATGAACTATCACTTCACTGTTTTACAGAGTCCTTATGATTTCACATGTTTTTGCTGAACTTGTAAAAGAGGCACTTGGATGATGGATTAACAAGAACATTGAGATTCTGTGAAAAGTTTCAAATCGGAGAGTATTCAATTTTCACCCTAGTCCAGCAGCTGTGCTGCTCACTTAAATACAGATGAATGAAGACCCCATTCGGGAAGACACCTGGCCAGCGGTCCAGAGCGGATGCAGGTAGGCGGTGCGGTCCCTGTGTTTTTTAGTAAGTGTGAAATGTTGCTAAAACCCAGGAATACTTTCGCATGGTTCCTAGTGGTTTGCTGTTCTTAAAGCTGTGTGCTTTCCACTACTCCGTACACATACATGGGAAAAAAGAGCTTCCTTTTTTAAAAGGCAGGGACAATGTTCATATTTTTTCTGTAGTCTTTCACCTTCTAGCAAGTTACAGATGTCCATTAAATTTAGCAAGTGAATTGTAAACACCTACCTAATGGGATTATAAGAAATGAAGGATTTATTATTTCTTTTTGAAAGAAGCGAAGGTGATTTGACTAGAGCAGTATGAGACTTAGGGTATTTATAGTGATTTTAAGGAAAAAAGCTTTTTGTGTGTTTGAAAGAACTTTATTGGAATGAAATGGATAGAAATGAAATAAATATTTAATAGAAATTGATTCTTACTTTTGTGGCACACAGCTAATACAACTAGAATAGAAGGTTAGACTTTGCATGATTTTTACCCACCCCACAAACAAAGGTAAATAGGCTACACTGTGAAATAGGTAAGTGGTATTTTCTTTAGGACTTAAGTTCCTCTCCATTCAGAAATACATTAAAATGTTGAAAAAAGTCTGTCATAGCATTTTAAGACTCTGATAAATGAATCTGAGAATTATGCTGGTAAAACTAATAATTCTACAGAAATGATTGCTGTTTGATTTAGTACTATTTCTTACATTTATTAAGGTAGTATTTGGAATTCTTTGTAGAAGAGCCACAGGGATTCAGATTTTTGAGTACCCATTATGTCTTTTATTTTAGCTCCTTTTTTGTAAAGGTAATATTGATTTCACTGTTTAGGGTTTGTCAGAAGATTACTTTGGGCCAGAGATGACAGACTGAAGCATAAGCCATCTGCAAGTGTATTATCAAATCCCGGCCCTCTCAGCCACATAGACACAGGCACACCACACATCTTCTCGAGCCTTGGTTTTTATCACCTAAACAGGGGTGTGCTGAGCTTATTAGGAGGAATAAATTTTATAAATAAAATAAATTAAATAAATAAATCAGCTGGGTGCCTGGCACATTATAGCTGTTCTACAAAAAAGCATTGTTATCGTTGATCATACTAGTTACAATAAAATATTTTTAATTTTATTTTGTTAATTGCGAAAATTGCTGTCAAGTTTTTGTTTTGTTTTTTTTTAAGACATTTATTTGAGAGAGAGAGAGAGAAAACGAGTGGTGGGGAGGGGCAGAGGGGGCGCGCGCAAGAGAAGCAGACTCCCAGCTGACCAGGGAGCCTGATGCGGGGCTCCATCCCAGGACCCCGGGATCATGACCTGAGCCGAAGGCAGACGCTTAACCGACTGTCGTTTTTTTTGTTGATCGGTGAAACCTCCCACGTTTTTCATTGGGAATAGTAATTCATTTTCCAGATTTCTTTTTATGCACACCATTCCAAATTTAGCACTCCTGTTTTCTTCATTGATTTTGAGTCCTTGTCATCAGGAGAGTGAGTGAGCAGATTACACTGATGTGTCATGTGGTGTAAGTGCCCGAAGGATCTAAACCAAGAGATGCTGTTGCTCTTAAGGGAGAGATTGTTAATCCCAGTCCGTACTCTCATTTTATATTTTCTTCGTCCTCCACACTTCTGTAGAGCTAAAGACAAAGCGGGTACTCTGTAAGTTCTCGTCGGCCCATTGTTTGATACTTTAACACGAGACTGTGGGGTCACTTGTTTCCCACTGTTGTTTGATAGATCATATTTTAGGAAGATTGCTGATCCCTTGATCAGTATGGTTTATGAAATTATCTTAAATCATTCTTCCTATTAACATAGACCAAGGCTCTTGTCAGTTACGCATGTAATTTACAAATAAAATTCACCCAAAAGGGGGTTTTCTTTTTCTCCTGCAAGGAGAAGCCTGGGTGGGCATTCCAGCATTGGTGCAGTGGCTCAGCTGTGCCTGGAGAGAAAACGGAGGGACCCTCCTCCTCCTCCCTGGGCATCTGGGCAGCTGGACCACCATGACAGCCCCCCGCGCGAGTGTCTCCAGAGAAACAGGCACAGCTGCGAGGTCCTCCTGGCGGAGCCTGGAGCCTTGGGGCTCACACGGGCCGACGTGTGCTGCGTTGCCAGCCCAGGGTCGAGGGAGGGAGGTGTACTGTGCTCGATGGGAGGAGGGTGAGGAATTTGAGGCCCTGCCTTAAAAGTGCCACAGCGATAAATAGATCACGAGGCAGTCCCTAGTACTGAGTTCTGTGTGACATAGAGCGTGGGTGATCAGTAAAAACTCGAGATTGAATGCTTGCATGCTTTTATATATCTAGTTCCACATATTAGGCATTTCTGTTTAAAATAAGTTAGGCTTATCTATAGAACTATGTTGGAATTAAATTGGTTACTAAAATAGTAATTTATATACACCAAATGATGGACAGCAAGTCCTATTATATGGCACAACATTTTTCATGTGTTTTTTCCCCTAGAGTTAGCCTCCATTTTTACTGGTTTATCCAGGGTTGCAGTTTTTCTCTTCTTATGACATACTTGAATCATACAGATAGGTACGGGGAATAGTAATAATACATGTGCATGTACCTAACGCTCTGATTTAGCAACTGGTTTTGCTGTATTCAAATATTTTTAAAACCTTGATTTTATTTTTATCAAATTAATAAAAATTCATTGTTGAAAATGTCAAGTAGTGCCAAAGACTTATAACAAAAAGCAGGCACTCTGTCCCTTCTGTGGTTTACCTTCACCATTTGTAGATAATACGAGTAGACAGATTTCTCTTGACTCTGACAGTGCTGAACCAAGGAAGGCAGGGCGATGACTTTCTCTCTCTCTTTTTTTTTTTTTTGTTTATTTGTTTTTCCTGGAGTTAAGAGATTTCTCAATTTTTTTTGTTTGCTTAAATTTCTTTGCAGCTTGAAGTCTCTTGAACAGTCCTCACAGCTTTATAGACCTGTTAGTGTAATATGCCACGTGGCAGACACCATAGATGGCCCATCTGTCCGCGGCTCCTTGGGGACTCTTCTAGTGCTTTCGGCCCTGTTCTCTGAGCTGCGTCCTACCACCCCACGGCCATGCTGTCATCCTTGGAATTCCTGTTTCCTCTCTGTAGCTGGATTCTCCTTGTTTCTGGTTGCCATGCCCTCCCTATTTCAGTGTGCACTCTTGCCTAGGAAAAGCTTGTACAGCGTCAAGAAGCTTCCAGAGCAGACGGTGAATGAGTTGATGGTTAAAGTGACAAGTGGAGGGGCGGGGCGCCTGGGTGACTCAGTCGGTTAAGTGTCTGCCTTTGGCTCAGGTCGTGATCCTGGGGTCCTGGGATTGAGCCCCTCGTCAGGCTCCCTGCTCAGTGGAGGGCCTGCTTCTCCCTCTCCTCTGCCCCATCCTTCCCCCACTCCCCGCCCCTGCCACTCATGCTCTCTCTCAAATAAATAAATAAATAAAAATCTTTAAAGTGGTAAGTGGAATGTGTGGTTGGTAATATTCTCTACTTTTCTGCCCGTTTGAAGTTGTCTCTGATACAGTTTTCCAAAAGTGCACCTAGATGAGGTTCTTTTTGAAATCTTGCATCAATATTGTCTTCATTCTTTTCTCCTGCTCAGTCTTCAGTGGGGCAAAAGGTTCTAAGTTGGAAATAACTTTTCATTCAGAATTCTCCAGGCATTGCTCCATTCCTTGTCTTTGAGACCCCAGTGTTGCTGTTTGAGGGAGTTGGATGCTGTTTCTGCATCTGGGTGTGTGTCCACTGGTTTCTCCTTCCCCCCTGAAAACTTCTGGGCTGGACTTTTCATATGCTGGGAAACATGACAGTGAGTGGCTGAATGGGTCTTTTTCACTCGGTGCTTGGGCTTTTCAGTGGTAGGTCCGTCCTTCCTTCTTTGGTGCTCATTTCCTCTTCTCCCTGGAATGCACCCTGCTGGGACATCTGCTGCTTAGGCTGGTCTTTCTGTTTTTTTTCCTAAACTTCTCCAATTACTCATTTCCTTTTTCTCATTCTTAGGAGGTTTACTGACTTTATTTTCCAACCTTTTAAGAAGATTTCTTTCTTTTTTTTTTTTTTTTTAAAGATTTATTTATTTATTCATGAGAGAGAGAGAGAGAAGCAGAGGGAGAAGCAGGCTCCCAAGGAGCAGGGAGCCCGATGCGGGACTCGATCCCAGGACCTTGGGATCATGACCTGAGCCGAAGGCAGACGCTTAACCATCTGAGCCACCCAGGTGCCCTAAGAAGATTTCTTAAGTGAGCATTTTGTTTCTTCTGTGAGCTCACTTTTTTTCATATTATTTCATAGGTGCAAGTAGCTTATACTTCTGAGGCTATAAATTGTATTTTTAAAAAGACTTGTTTGAATTAGCTTGGCCTGTTAGGAGTGTCTTTGTGTCTGTTTGCTTTTTAGTCAGTTTGGGAGGTTTTCTTTACATTTCCTGAGATCCGAGGTGGACCCTCCAGAGAGGCACAGAGGAGAGGTTTTCACATTTCCTGAGATCCGAGGTGGATCTTCCCGGGGCACCGAGGAGAGGTTTTCTTCACATTTCCTCAGATCTGAGGTGGATCCCCCAACGATGCACAGAGGAGTTGGCTGGAAGCTGCATGTGTAAGTGGCGCCTGGTGGACTTTAGTTACATGATTGAGGCCTCTAAGGGTCAGTATTTTTGGGTGTTTTCTCTAAAGATGGGTTTTCAGATTTCCTACCTATAGGAGAAGACTATTAACCCTCAGAATTCCTGATTTCTCCCTTACTGTCCTGTAGCTTTATGTCTGTTGAAGCCTCCCCACCAGAGGCCACTTCTGCTCACACAAAACTGGGCTTGTCCGATTTGCTCAGTGGCAGGGACACAGTGCTCTTGATGGCCTCCCCGGGAGATTTCACAAGAGGCAGAACTGTTCACAGGGAAGAATGAGTGAGTTGGTAGGGTTGGAGGCACTTGGTGTGGTGTGGACGAGATTGGCGAGGATTCCGAATCTAAACGAGGCGCTGAAACAGACAGGGTCTTTATCTTTGGAAAATCTGAGCCCTCTGAAATGAACAGCTTAAGGCATGTCTGGGAGCTGTTGTAGGTTTGGTTCTAGACCACCAGAATAATGCAAATATTGCAGTGGAATGAGTCAGATGAATTTCTTGGTTTCCCTGTGTGTATAAGAGTTATGTTTACACTCTGTTGCAGTCTACCTGTCTATTTTTTCAAAGATTTATTTATCCATTTTAGAGAGAGAGAGTGCATGAGTGGGGGCAGGGAGACAGGCAGAGGAGAGAGAGGGAGAATCTCAAGCATACTCCCCACTGGGCATGGAGCCCGACACGGGGCTTGATCCCACCACCGTGAGATCTTGACCTGAGCTGAAACCAAGACTCAGATGCTCAACTGACTCAGCCATCCAGGCACTCCCCTCCCCCCCCCCCTTTTTTTAAAGTAAGCTCCATGCCCAACGTGGGGCTTGAACTCACAGCCCTGAGATTGAATTAAATGATCTACCGACTGAGCCAGCCAGTCACCCCAGTAGCATTATGTCTAAAAAACAATGTATATACCTTAATTAAAAAAGTTTATTCCTAAAACATGTTCACCATCATCTGAGCTTTCAGTGAGTTGCAAGCACTGGTCACAGAACACTGTAATAAATATTGTAATAATGAAAACGTTCGGAATATTGTGAGAATTACCAAAATGTGACACAGAGACACGAAATGAGCAAATGCTGTTGGAAAAATGATGCTGATAGACTTGCTTGGTGCTTCAGTTAGTAAAAAGCGTGGTATCTGCAAAGCACAGTAAAGTGAGGTACAGTGAAAGGAAGCATGAGTGTTTTGGAACATACGTCTCTGAATGAGCTTCTGAATGAGTTTGAGGGAATGTAGTTTTTCTTAGCCATTTCGGTTTAGTACAGCTTAAATAACTTTTGTGAGTCATAAAACAGTTTATTTTATAAATTATGGTTCTATTTCTTTTCACATTTAAATCAACAAATAGATGTAGTACCTAGTAAAGGATCTTGTTCTCTTTTCTACTGGAAAATCTTTGATCCTCAGATGAGTGATGCCACCCACTTTCAATGACAAACTGACATCAGGGCGCAGTGAATATATACACACCTACCTATTCCTCTGCTGCTTTTCCACTGAACAGTGTTTGTTGGTGACCTCTCAGCAGTATGTGGAGCGCCTCCTTCCCACTCTTTACAGCTGAATGGTATTCATACTCATTTGTTCAGAGACCAGTTACTTGGACATTAAGTTTGTTTCTACTCTTCTGTATTAGACATGATGACTGCAATGAATAGGCTTGTCCTTTTGTCCTGCCAGTGTGTTGCCATTGGGATGGATTTCTAGAAGGAGAACTGAATCACATCTTAAATGCATATTTAATTCTGTGAGGTATTCGTGGGCTTTGTGCCATCTTGCCCTCTTACCAGCAGGCAGTATGTTAGTGTGTCTCTCTCCCAGTCTTGCTGCTGCAGTATGTCATCAGATGGGCAAGGAAGGAGTCTCAGTGTAGTTTCATGTGTGAGGTGAATATCGCGTCCTGTCCTGTAAGACCTCTTTGGCCTTCCTTTTTCTGTTCTTTTCTCCCCTGATTTTCTTCCGCTTTTAGAAGCTCTCTCTTTTTTTTTAGTCAATTATTTTTCAAAGATTTTATTTATTTATTTGACAGAGAGACACAGCGAGAGAGGGAACACAAGCAGGGGGAGTGGGAGAGGGAGAAGCAGGCCTCCTGCTGAGCAGGGAGCCCGATGCGGGGCTCGATCCCAGGACCCTGGGATCATGACCTGAGCCGAAGGCAGACGCCCAACGACTGAGCCACCCAGGCGCCCAAAAGCTCTTTTAAAGTCAGAGTTACTTTGTGATAGGAGTTATTTCTTACACTTGCCACTGTGTGGTGCCAGCTTCTGGGAGAGGACTTTCCTTAAGTCCCTGGCCTGTTTGCATTTACATGGGTCTCAGCCTCCGTCACAGAAGTCATGCTGGACTCTGCAGTCCTAGCTTATGTCTGTGGTTTCTTGGATCCTGTGTATTTATGAATCTTATCTGTCTCGTTTTCTGAAGAATATCCTCTAGTAACTTCCAGATATTTGTGGGAGATGTAATTTTTGAGCCCATATGTGAAGGTAAATGTCTATACCTTCAATTGGCAATTTAGCTGGGTTTGGAAGTCTGGGTTCAAAGTCATTTTACCTCCACTTTGCAGGTATTTGCTTTCTGGTTGTCTAGCTCAGTGTTGATGATGAAAGAATACGTCTAGTACTTCTTTATTTTTTTTTAAAAGGACTTTAAAAAAGGACTTTATTTTTCTTAAAGATTTTTTTTCTTTATTCATTTGAGAGAGAGAGAGCACAAGCAGGGGGAGAGGCAGAGTAAGAGGGAGAAGCAGACTCCCTGCTTAGCCCGATGTGGAGCCTGATGTGGAGCTCGATCCCAGGACCCTCAGATCAGACCTGAGCTGAAGGCAGACGCTTAATCAACTGAGCCACCCAGGCGCCCCAGAACTTTATTTTTCTTAAAGCTTTTTTTTTTTTTTTTAAAGATTTTATTTATTTATTTGACACAGAGAGAGAGAGAGTCAGAGAGGGAACACAAGCAGGGGGAGTGGGAGAGGGAGAAGCAGGCTTCCTGCTGAGCAGGGAGCCCGATGCGGGGCTCGATCCCAGGACCCTGGGATCATGACCTGAGCCGAAGGCAGACGCTTAACGACTGAGCCACCCAGGCGCCCCTCTTAAAGCAGTTTTAAGTTCACAGCAAAAATGAGCAGAATGTATGCTTCTCATGTACCCCTGGTGCCCTCCCCCTCAGCCTCCCATACTAGCAACAGTCCCCACCAGATAGTACATTTGTTACAGTTGATGCACCTACATTGGACACATTGTGATTACCCAGAGTCCATTGTTAAGATGTCTTAAGGTTCACTCTTGGTGGTGTACATTCTGTGGGTTTTGACAAATGTATAATCACTCAAATCCACCATTCTGGTATCATTCAGAGTAGTTTTACTTCCTGAAAATCCCCTAGTCTTCAGGTATTCATTTCTCTCTCCCCCTAACCCCTAGCAGCCACTGACCTTTTACTGTATCCATAGTTTTGCCTTTCTTGGAATGTGCTAGAGTTGGAATTCTATGTAGCCTTTTCAGATTGGCTTCTTTCACTTAGCAGTGTGCACTTAAGGTTCTTCCATGTCTTTCCATGACTTGATAGCTTGTTCCTTTTCAGTACTGAGTAATATTCTATTTGTGGGTGTACCATACTTTATCCAGTCACCCACTAAAGGACATCTTGGTTGCTTCCAAGCTTAGGGAATTATAAATAAAGCTGCTGTACACATCCATGGGCAGGCTTTTGTGTGGACTGGTTCCAACTTCTTTGGGTAAATACCAAGGACCATAATTGCTAGATCATATGGTAAGAGTATGGTTTGTAAGAAACCACCCAGCTGTCTTCCATCGCAGCTGCGCCAGTCTGCATTCCCTCCAGCCATGAATGAGAGTTCCTGTTGCTGTATATCCTCTCCCGTGTTTAGCGTTCTGGATTTTGGCTATTCTATTAGATGTGTAGTGGTATCTTCATTGTTTTTAGTTTGCATTTCCCTGATGACATGATGTGTAGAGCATTTTTTCATACATGTTTTTTGCCATCTCTGTCTGTTCTTTGGTAAGCTCTTTGGACCATGTTTAATCAGGTGGTTTTCTTGTTGAATTTTAAGAGTTCTTTATGTATTTTGGATAACGGTCCTTCATCAGATATGTTTTCCAGGTATTTTCTTCTTCTGGTTGTCTTCCCTTTATTAAAAAAATATGTATTTATTTTTGAATTACAAACCCCTGTGTCGAGGGCTGACTTTCAATAGATCGCAGCGAGGGAGCTGCTCTCCTGTGTACGAAACCCTGACCTAGAAGCAGGTCGTCTATGAATGGTTTAGTACCAGGTTCCCCACAAATGTGCATTGCATGACTGGTGAGGGGGTGGCCCCCTTTTCAGCCATGCCCCGTTTCCCGGCACGAGGGGCTCTCTGCACCAGACCCTGGTCCCTAAGCTTGATGGCCTGCTGGTGGGGACAGTGGGGGACTGGTTATCTCAGGCCGACCGAGGCTCCTTGGTGCTGCCGTATCGTTCTGCTTGGGCAGGATTCTGACTTAGAGGTGTTCAGTCATAATCCCACACATGGTAGCTTCGCCCCATTGGCTCCTCAGCCAAGCACGTACACCAGCTTCTCGTTTTCTTGATAGTGTCTTTCACAGAGCAGAAGTTTTTAATTTTAATGAAATCTAGCTTATCAATTCACTTTTTTCATAGATTGTGCCGTTGTATTATCTTAAAAAGTCCTCAGTGTAACCAAGGTCATTTGGATTTTTCCCTGTGTTAACTTTTAGGAGTTTTACAGTTTTGCACTCTGCATTTAGGTCTATAATCCATTTTAAGTTAATTTTTGTGAAGGATGTAAGGTCTGTGTCTAAATTCATTTTTTTGCAGGTGAATGTCTAGTTATTCCAGCACCACTCATTTAAAAAGACTATCTTTTCTCCATTGTATTGCCTTTGCTCCTTTGTCAAAGATCAGCTATGTGTGGATCTTTTTAGGGTTTTCCATTTGATCTGTTTGTCCATTCT